CTCGCATGTTAAAAATCGGATCTATGCAGATGGTGCACCCAAACCATTAGTGAGGGTTCTCAGAAGAGGACTGATTATCACCAGCGAAGTCATGCCCAGAAACAAGACGTGAGTTCAGTCTGCGCTGTCACGACGACTGTGATTCCAAACACGTCCTATACACAACGAATTTTGGCCACGCCCCTCCCCATAGCCGGAGTTTTTGCTAACACTTAACGAAACTCTTCAGCGCCTATGCTTCGTGATATAGTGCTAGCGAGAAACCGCAACAGTAAGTGTTCAACATATTTATTGAACAAATAAAAATACAGTTTTCAAAATGTACAGCACTGAAGCTGTCCATGAAGTTGTTAGGACCGAATAAGGTCCCGATATCATGCCCGTTTTAATGGCAACACATCGACAGCGGAAATTACAATCGTGTTACCTCTTCATCGCCTACACCAGAATCCATGGACCTTCTGAACACTACAGGTGGGTCGAGTTGATAACTCAACGCATCTGAATCGCTACTTGAACATTCACTGGGTTCAGAAGGCATTTCAGCGCTCACGACAGACACCTGGGAGTAACCCAGGCACTCCCGTTTTGGAGGATGTTTTCTGGCAGGTATTCCTCTCGGTGGTGGACTGGGAGCGGCTGATCGCTTCTGATCCACGACTTTCGTGGGCGCATCCGCTCTGCTTGATCTCGGTACGGTGGCCGAAGCCACAGCGGGGATTGGTCGTCTGACAACTCGGGTGTTGTCTCGTGAAAGGATCTCATCGTAATCGTCTTCTTCCGTTTTCGGTTTAACCTGAAATGGCGCAGGGCTAAACTTGAAGAAGAACATTCTATTGAGATAAAGTGCTTAAAATGGTGATAAGGGTTTTGACTGACTGACATCCTTTCCACGAGTAAGCAAAACTCGATTGTGCCTTACATCTTGTTGGCTTCCTGTTGAGCGCGGATTCAGCGCTGTTGTAGGGAAGTATATCCGGCTCGTGATTGTGCCTTGTTTGCAGACCTCACACGCTTCGCAACCCCTGCAATGAGTAAATTTTGTGCACAGCGTCAAAATGTAAATTCAGCGATCATCTAAGAATGCTTATTGCTTATGAAAATGGAAATGGTCGCAGAAAATAGGCCTCTAAAGCAAGTATGAAACATCCGGCGTTGCTCAATCCCTCCTTGGGGTGCGCCACGCATTCTACTTCCATTCAGAAATGGTCAAATGAATACGATGTGGCCCATAGGTCTGGTACCAATTAAAAAACTTCGAAAGAATGGAAGGTTTGGTCGACCGCGTGGCAAGGCGCCACTTGCTCCTTCTGCTTCTGTAGGGTGACGAGACATGAGAACATGAAAGTGAGAAAGTATGGGGTAAAGGCGAGACCGCAGACAGCAAGGGTGGTGTGAGAGTAAATGGTCGGGCACAGGTGCAAGTCGCAATGCTCAAACCGAAGATACTGTCGTCCGCAGCAACGCATGAATGTTAAAAAATTGCAGCTCTGCGTATGTAGATCTCTTTTGGGTACCTGGCAAGCAATGCACCTAGATTTTAGCAATATGGAATGAAATAAGCTTAGGAGGTGCCTCATTGAAAGCAAATTGAAGGGAACCGGTCTGGAACCAGCAGAACATATACATTGTTACCCTCAATCCCTTGCTTGAACGACCGTCCGATGATGAACAAGCGAACGCCTATGGGCTCGCCTGTCTGCGAATGGGCCTTGAGTCCGATAGTTAAGGAGTTGGAGCTACCGCGACTGGGCGTCTTGGCCCCTTTCTCTCGACCTCCTCTGCGGCGAGTGAAGGGTTTGGCAGCCGAATAGGTAGTAGTGCCAAAACGGGTAATAAGGGCGCGAAGCTGCACCTAAGGCGTTTCGTTGCGAGAAAATGGATAATGACAGCCTGCACCCTACAGAGTAGCGACAATTCGAGCATCAGAAGACGCACAATTCACTCCAACTTAGATCCTCACCCCCCCCCCCCTACAACACACTCTCCTCAAGAACCGCCGTGAGAAAAAAGGAATACTTTATAACCTGTGGCGGGTTACTCCCACATCTTTCAAAACCTTTCTCACGACTAACCACCATTCAGAACACAAAGACTCCCCTCTCACAAATATCACACTTAAATACGACCCCATCGATTGAAACGGGCGATTGTCACTGCTTGCATCTACTAACATCCCACCCTAACCGGGCGACTATGACAACCGCCATGCCGTCTGCGTCCTCATCGCCCCTCATTCTCTAATTTCCAGGTTTTGCTAGCTGTCCTCCGGGCCACTTTCTTCGTTCGACTGCCTGCCCACGTCAACAAAAATCAACCCTGCCGCCTGCACTTTCTGCGTGGCTTCTTTCCGTGATGAGATAGCTGGTAAGTCAACCGCAAGAGCTTCACAATGTCGTGGTAAGAGAGCTAGAATACTGAACTGTTCCGCTGCATTTCCACGGTTGCTTACCAGGTACCGCCCCGCGAGGCCCCCATCGCGCGTCAAGAGCTAAAGTCATCGGACGAGTCGCGCCGCGACACTATAAGAACTTTCCGCCGTCAAGTTAAAAGTGTTCCAATTCCCGTCTACCATCGCCACCATCCGCTTCGGAACTCGTCCGACAACCTGCCTCTGCCGGCGAACCGGGCCTCCTGAAGGTACCGACATATCCATGTCTCGCTGACCCATGAAACCCTAACACAACCTACCTATACTCGCATAAAGTTTTTGTTATTTGAGGTAGAGATTTCGAATTGACTCGTTGAAGCGTAGTACGGGTTTCCTTCTCTGAAAACAACGGTTTTCATTGATTTTCCAGGTACAACATATAAATACTGTATCTCTATAATCATTTCCAGAAAATGAACCTGATGCACCTTTTTTTGGTTGGTTCATCCATGGAGACGGTATTCGTTCACGGTAACGTGTTGGAGCTTTGGGAATCGGTGACGAAGGCACTGAAAAGCTACCCAGCCTGAGGATTTTTTATGTGAATAAATGTGAATTGTTATGTACCAACCTGTTCCTAGGCTGCTGTTCATTGAAGACAAATCCGCTTTTCCTGAATCCAATGTAGAATTTGGCCCTTTCACCAGATGGGCATCTTTCTTAATTAGCAGTATTAATTATTAATTACAAATAGTAAAAGTAATATTTGTTATCGTATTGGCTAGCTAGGTCTATATAATTATATTGCAATTTAATGAAAAATCAGGTACTTATTCCTACAATATCAAAAAATTAGGAATTAGATTTTGCAGGCATTAGGCCCTTCTTGAGATGCGCCACGCATACATCCTGCTCCCGTTCAGCACCCAGTCGTGACAATTGAGTGCAATTTTGCCTACATTGACTTGCAGGTGCCAGAAGATGTAGAAGCCATCTCTTTCTTTTCCTGAAGATGCGCGGTACCAGTAAAGCGAACCCGGCCGCAAGGAAGGAGGTCTGGGTCGCTTGGGAGCGGGATGAATAAGGACACAAGGGAATCCTCGACCATGGCTCTGTACTGTGCGAGAGTAGTGCCGAGAGTGAATGTACGCGCGGAGAGCACAGACGGCTCGCGCATGGCGAGTGTGAATGTCCGCGCGGGAGAGCGTGACTGATCAGGCAAAATCCTCGACGAGCCGTTGAGGAATCCTCGACCGATTTTCACCCTGCTGGAGGGAATCGATGCGGGATTTGATTCCCCTACTGCTCGCTGATGAGGGGTGCATCATTCCACCACCTACATCAGCTTAC